GGGAGTTCCACAGGCGAGAGGTGCGAGACATAGTCCCGTTGAATTAAATTCTTGACTGTGTGACCATAGGTCAGCCCATCGATCTCCCCTTCCCTACCCCTACCCAGGCTCTCCTACCGCCATGATATGATTCCAGTAACGGTGCATTTTTCTTCCCCCCATACCTCCCAACAACACACCTATAACACACATACTCTCTCTTTTTTTTTATCCAAATAAACAGTACACTACAAACTGATACCATAAACAGTTTGAAAAATTCTACGAATTTTAAAATTAAAATTCGTAGGTGAAAATGGTCATTTACTAAAGGTATCTCAACTCCAATATATATATATATATATATACATTAAGAATTGGACAAAGTCCGACAATTTATTAAAGACATTTTATGTTTAACATTCTTTTTATAGATACAAGTATTTAAGTAAATGCTCTGTTTATAATAAACAGTATTAAATAACATTTACCGGCCTGAATGTCCGAGAAATTTTCATAGAAAATATTTTGTCCTTTGACAGGATTCGAACCTGCATCCTATACGGAACCGTCATTTACGCTGACGTGCCTAACCTTCGGCCACAACGGATCGTTCGGTTGGCAAGTTAAATTCTAAGCAAACTTCAATCGACCTTATATATATATATATATATATATATATATATATATATATATATATATATATATATATATATATATATATATATATATATATATATATATATATATATATATATATAAAAATGAGTCAGAAACGCTAACTTTCTACTATTTCGAAAGGTCTAACAAAAAAAGCTACCTACCCAAAATTTACTACTAGTAATAATAATGTTTAGAGAAAAGCCACAGCGAATCTACCTTACGACAGTGGGACATATTCACGTAGTCTGATGAGTATTTATGAGCTTGCCTGAAACTTTTCTATCAATATTTTTATGGTAAATGTTCTGCTGAGCTAGACTTTATGAATTTAAGCGCAGTGCTATATTGGCAGTTAGGTCTCCTCATTTTATCGTTGCAATGATTACATGTAACCCGTAGTTCTAAGCTTGTATGCATTTTCACTCTTCTCGCTTGTGGAACTATCTTGCGGCTTCTTGTTTTCCAGACAACTTTCATTTTCAAAAATTTAAATGCAATGTCAAGCGTTATCTTCTGTCTTCTTAATTTCTGTATTTTTTTTCTTCTCGCTTACTCAATAATGTTATTCTTTTTTTATATTATTTCACGCTCACTAACCCTCTTCGACTTAATAGCAATGTCAATCGCTATCTTTATTCCTCTGCTTTTATTGTTCTAAAATTGTTCTTTACTAATGTTTTCTTTTTCTTACACTTAGCCTTCTGTCTTAGTGGCTTTATTAGTCAACTTTAATATTCAAACATTCAAATGCAATGTCAATCGCTATCTACTGTCTTCTTGATTCCTCTTCGTTTATTGTTCTCAATCCTTACTAATATTTTCTTCTTCTTAAATTAACTCACTCTTGTAATGTGTCTTAGTGGCTATATTGTCTTGCTTGTGTGAAATGATTTTAAAAAAATCATGATTCATTTAAGAATAGCATAGCATGAAAAACGCATCAGAACATTCATATGTTTGTGCGCCTATGCCCGTGTGTGTACAGCTCGCATAAAAGCATACACGCACACGCTCACACACAAACACATTTTTATATAGGAAGAAAATGATTGGTATTGATACCGAGGTTCTAGCGTGACGCTCTGCTCTTATGAATATGTTTTCCGCCATGTGTACAAATAGCGGTGTCAGTCTACTAACTGTAGTGGATTACGACTTGACCTGGGGCTTTCCTTCCGGGTTCTTTCGTAGGGATTGGCAGATGAGGAGGAGAATTTTTCCCCGTCTGGATAGAATTATTCAGATGTAGTATCAGTTCCGTGCCGGTCCTTCTCTCCTCCCTTGCTTTTCCCACACTGTTGCGTAATATCTATTACGTAGCGGTGTTATGACCGGCTATGACTAGCTTTGACCAGTTTAGACAAGCTATGACCAGCTAAAACCATCTTAGACCAGCTTAGACCAACGACGCAAATGGAAAGACTCGGGATCCCTCCGTTAATGATTGGAAGAGAGTTTTTTTTTTCCGTCAGGGTGGATGTTTCAGATGTAGTATCTGTTCCGTGCGGGAGTCCTTCACTCCTTTCTTGCGTCACCTCACACCGTTGCCTGACATCTGTTACGTAGCGGTGGTATGACTGGCTATGACTAGCTTAGACAATCTCTGACCAGCTTAGACAAGCTTTGACCAGCTTAGACCAGCGGCCCGAGTAGAAACACTCCTATATATTGAGCCCTCTTTTAAATTAAATATTACGAACGTTGGAAGTGTATTCTAATCATTTTACACACACACACACACACATATATATATATATATATATATATATAGAGAGAGAGAGAGAGAGAGAAAACGCTAAAATTTCCCTTCTTCTCAGCTGCGCAGGTAGGGTAGGAGCTCTGACTGATGCTACATCGATCAACTTTCGATCCCGGAAATAATCAGACGTCTAGCCACACTGACACACTGAAGAGCTGTGATAGAGCAGAAACAGTCTGTCTGTGGTTGACTGTATATATATATATATATATATATATATATATATATATATATATATATATATATATATATATGGATATATAGATCCGACAGTATGAAGAAAAATATATACGGAAAAACAAAAATCCTTAATGTTAATATGTCAACATCGGACGTTTCGGTCTAATAAACCATCTTCAGTACATATTCATAAAAATTCATGTTCATTAACAATTGATAATTCATGTTGTATTGATAATGTTATAATTTATATAAGGATTTTTGTTTGTTTTTTCCGTATATATTTTTCTTCATATATATATATATATATATATATATATATATATTAAATGAGAAGCAGACAACATTGAATAAGGTGTCTTTCCCCATAGGAGGCCCTATATTTAAGTGCGTTAAAAAAAGAAAAAAAACAAGAAAAAAAGAAAAAAAACAAGAAAACAAGAAAACTTGTAACAATTTCAGTTTGACTGTTTATATGTCGTCACCCTGAGTGAGC